ATTAATTACCATTTTCTTTTGCTCTGATATTATTTCTCTGCAATAAAATTACCCACAGATTCAATGCAAGTTTGAAATCGCAGGAGACGGCAGGTATGGAGGCTGCTTTGCTCTAGGAACTCCCCTGGGAAGCTGCAGTTCAAAGGAGCTGGAGGCTGCCTGGTGGCCCATCGGAAGGATTAGGTTCTCTTCCTTTCTGGCCAGATGTCCAGCTTCCACTGCCCCATGCTGATACTGTCTGGAATTCCTCAAGGTGGACTTGTGTGGAGAGATGGAGAGATGCCCAGGCTGCAGAGTTGGTGAGGGACTGAGGCTGTTGGTCCATCCCAGCTCACAGGAATGCTGGGGCCTGTAAGTCACTTGGGTGATGTTTTGTGATAAATTGACTCCTTCAGAGCTCACCCAAGCACACGTTGTCCAGATTTCATAAAACCTGAGGAGCAAATTTTATGCTGCCTGGGAGCCAGAGGGAACTGAAGCCCTTGGCAGGAGCAGGCAGTTGCTTAGAGAACCTCGTCCCTCTCTGTACCCTAAACTCAGACATGCTTGCGTCTACCTGTGTGTTATTGCCATAAATTCCTTCCTTTTGAAATAAGCTGCTGTATACAAGAGAGAAAAAAAAACTAGGACACTGTGTCCTGGCATGACACTGTGCTGGAGGGGAAATAGCAGGAGTGCCCACCCACGGCACTGGTTCTGAAGTATTTTCTTATTTCTGGATGTTACCAGACTATTTTTAAGACAGTCCTGAAAACTCTGCAGCCAGTTCTTCAATATTAGGATGGGAAGCAGCCTTCCCCAATACACTGACACTAATTTGGGTGGTTGCAATCTTCCAGAGTAGATCTGTCCTGCACATTTTTTTCATGTATCCTGAGCTTTAGCGTAATACTGCTGCAAGTAGTTGAAAAGCTACTGCACGTCACCCCAGGAGTGGCTGTGTTTTTGTGCTGGGTGACTCTTTAGGATGCTTTGGGATGAAAGATCATCTATAAGCTAGACCTTACCTCACTGTGGAGTCATTCCTAGTCACTGGGCAACTTTTGAGAAAACTAAAACTGGTGAATGCATGGAGTAAACATGTCTATTTTTGTAGTTTGTCTTCCAAGTCAAACAAAAATAAGAGCTGACTTGAGGCTGGAGACTGCATGACACACTGTTAACTGAGAACTGGCAGCACGGGGCTGGATCGTCTCTGCTGCAAGTCAGAATGGCATCTCTGGAGTCGGCGGAGTTCAAGTTCGTGCCCTTCAGCCACACAGTCTGTAGTTGTTTAGAAGTTAAGTGGGGCACAGTGGGGCAGTCGGGTGAGCCACACGTGGTCAGTGTTTGGAGGAAAACCTGGGCCTGGCTGGGAAATGTTGGTGATTGAGTTGCTTTCTGCATCCTCTGTGTCAGGATGGAGCTGATGTCTCGGCGTGAGCTGGCAGGGGTCTTGCTGTCCAGCCCAGGCTCCTGGTGCGTGCCATGAAGCTGGATTACTGGCACCTTGGGTGACTGCCCACCCATGCTGGGCTGCACAAGCCTGTCCTAGGGTTCAGGGGGGAGCTTTTACCCCCATCATTCTCCCAGTGCTGCAGAGCTGCTTTGCTTCCTTTCCAAATGGGGAATTTCCAAATTGCCCTATATAGATAGCCCCTCCAAACAAACTTTTATGTAGCACTGAAAAAAAAAAGGCTGTGTTCCCAAAAGCCTGTTTGTTCCAGCTGTGGTGATTTGTCTCAGAGAGGATGTTGCATCTCTTCAGTGATTGCGTGGTGTTTACATCCCCAGCGTCGTGGCAGCGGCAGCGTGCCACCAAAGCCGTCCTGTGTGCAGAACCCAAAGCGTAGTGCTGCAGGCTTGTGCTGGACAATATATGTGTGCACAGGTCTGAGACAAGCAAAATGTGGTAGATTGGGTGTTGGGGGGGTTGGTTTGGGGTTTTGTTGGGTTTTTTTTTCTTTTTACAATTGTTCCTGAGCCATTCTGTAACGTGGTACGGTAGGAAGACTATCATCCCGAGTGAACTTCAGCCATGTCCATGACGGGTGGAGAACACGAGCTTAGCAGTGGTAGGGAGCTGAGCCGAAGCTGGGATCTGCAGCCAGGTTCTGGTCACGTTTAAACAGGAGCGAATCTGGAGTGATGCTGCTGGCTGTGGAGTGCAGGATGCAACCCAGGAAAGAATCGGCATGTGCGTGCAGCAGTCTTACTGGAAACAGGATCTGTCAATTACAGTAAAGTTTAAAAATAAAACAAAATTGTATAAGCTCTAATTATTTTCCAGGCTGTTTTTTCCTGCCTCCACGTATCCCAGGAGGACTTGCAGGGGGATGAAGGTTGAAATCTCTCCAGGCTGCAGGGTGTGAGACTGAATGCCATTCACATTGATAAACTGACAAAAAAGGGAATTAATCTGAGATGAGCAACCCTTCCGTGGAAAGACTTCTTTGGGAAGTGAGTAATGGAAGGAAAATGCCTCCATCTACCAACCAGCCCTAGGCAAGGGGCTCTGAAAATGCACTGGCGAGCCCCAGGAACCAGCCCCAGAGCATTTCTCGCCCGCTCTTTGCAGCCATTCTCTCTGAACGGGTCATTGCGTAGAACAGAATCGCTGGGGCAGAAGGAGGATAGGGCAGGAGCAGAGGGATGTCCAGGTTAGCTGATGGGAAGCAGCTGGTTTGCAATGGGGCAACACTCGCTTCCTCCAGCCTATCCCCTCCATGTCCCAGGTCTCCCAGTGTGAGAACAGCAAGCAGGATGAATTCACCAGCAGAGAACAAGGACGTGGCTGACCAAGGACTTCACTTTGGATGTGATGCTTTGGCAATGCTTTGGAAAGCCTTTGGCTGCCATCGTAGTCAATGCATCGGCAACTGGATTGAATGTGAATCTGTGCAATGAGAATGGGTGAATTTACTCAGATGGGGGAATTAGACTACAGCGTGGTTTGCTCTGCGATGTAGTTTTTCCCTGGAGGCTTGCTTGCCAAATGAGACTATGGCTTCACTGCCAGAGAACCTGCTCTTCCTACCGACTCTGTCAAATAAGCACAGCTCGATGGGCAGGCCCAAACCACTGAGTTGGAGGAAAAAGTGCTCTTGATTCCAAGAGGCAAGGAGCAAGCCCCCTGTGCCCATGGTCAGACATAACTCAGCAGCGAATACCCGGACTTAGTTCAGTGGGCTGTAACGTTAAGGAACCCTGTTCTATGTGTCAGGGAAACCAGACAGCGACAGAATTTGGTCACCGTAGCTTTTGCACCAGGATCCAGATGCCATCTTTGAGGGGATCTCACAAGTTCCATGCTCTCCATATGAGAGCGGGGGTATCTAATTCTCCGGAGTACCTGGGACAGTGCTTATTCCAGCCTGCATGGATCGGTGGGTGAGGCTGCAATTCGTATAGGGTTCTGCTAGATGGGATCGAGGTATCGTACAAGCTGATACTGCAAAGCGCCTTCGTGATGCAGCTGGGTACTGGGGGGGGGGGGGGGGGAATAATAAAGGAGTGCCCAGGAAGCTTAATTAGCTGACGAATCCATGGTTTCTCAATTGGATCTGATTTCCTGGGCCTGTTCTGAGTTTCCATTTGGTTGATGAGTTTGGATACAACTTTTTTTTCCACCCTACACAGCTCCTTGGCTCCTGTTCCCTTTTTTTTTTTTTACAGTTCCTAGGAGGAAGAAAACCAAACTGGAGGAAATATTGCTCACCAGTTTCAGAAATCCCACCAGCTTCCAAACATTCCTCCTTTGCTACTTTTTAGCCTGCCTTGTTGATCACTCCCCACGTTAAGGGAGACGACGACGGGTTGGTCTCTTCCTAACTGGGTGTAGCTTTCCAAGCTTTGCTAGTAACGCCTTGGATTTGCGCAGAAGCAACACGTGCTAAAACCTGAAGTGAGGGAAGGGACTTTTGTCGCCTCTAGCTGATGGGTAGGAACCAAAAGCAGGCACAGCAGGGCAGCCATGAGAGGGGAAACTGGGTTTGGTCTGTGTTTTGTTCTGGCAAAAGTCCCCTGCGTTCAGGGGAAAGTGAGAGGCTGCGTGCCAGCGAAGCCTGAACCCGGGGTCTTCGGCGGACGCTCCCTGCCGAGCTCTCCTGCCCCTCCATCCAGTAAGGTCTTTGTCACAGGTTTATCTTCAGCCTCGTGAGTCCCCTTTGACTCAGAAGTCACGGACTTGAGGACGTATTTAACACCACGGTGAAGGGGGAATAACCCATGAGGGTGTAGCAGGCTGTCGTGTGTACCGGCCGCCCCGGAGAACACCGCTGCGTGCCCCCCGTGGCGTGGCTGACGCCCCCCGCCTCGCTTCCCGACAGCTCCCTGTTTCTGGGTGGCTTCTGCACCAGCGCTTCTCTGGGGTAAAGCCGCGAGGTCTGGGCTTTGCTGGTACCCCTCGTGTTTGGCCCTGGGCCGTGGGGCACCACGGGGGAAGGGACACCCGCTGGGTAGCGCTAGGACCTGGGGGAATGCTCAGCCTGCCTCCTCCCAGAAGATTAGCCAATATTCCCAGCCTTGCTACTTTTTCTTTCCCCTATGTACGTGTTTTTCTTTCTTCTAGTCCATTCCAGAGCAGAGCAGCTTTGGATTTCTCTAAGCTTTCCCCCCCCCCTGTTTGCCCCCCCCCCAGCCTCTTGCAAGGCCAAAGTTTTATCTATAGGGATATATTTTTTCAAACCAGCCCAGCTGCACGCAGGCTGCCTGCAATTGAATCCGCACTCCTGGGGCAAGTTTAACCGGGGAGAGGAGCGGCAGCAGGGGTGCTGTTTGTGCCTCTCCTCCAGCTATTCCTGTCAAGATGGATTTATGGCTTTAAAAGGAGGGGGGGCTGTGAAGGAAAATTGCCGACGGGGAGCCAGAGCTTATACCACAGCCCAGGAAAAACCCACATAAAGCAGCAGTCGGATCTCAAGGCATGAGCAGCGTAAAAAGTGGCACCCTGGGAGCTGGTGGATCCTTGCACGTAATATGACTGATCTTAAGCCTTTCATCTGCCTTCACAGAGCCGAGCTTTTGGATTTAAGGTAGTTTGCCCAGGACCAGACTTTGCTATGTTGGCCAAGACAGTGCTTTCTCTTGGGCTGTGGCTGCTGTTTGCTGCGGGACAGAACACACCTGAGCGAGGTGAGTGCCTGGGGGGGCAAGGCGTTCCCTTACTGCTTCCCCCCCGTTTCATACCTCCAGGTCCTTACAGCCGCTCCTAAAACCTTTTCAGAATAAAAGCTGAAGTTCTATTGCTGCTTTAGGTGGATAGTTATATTTCTATATTACTTTGCTGGCCCAAGGACAAAACAAACAAAAAAACCTTTCTAAAATTGCCCTATTAGAATGAAATTTTATCTTGCTCCTTTCCAGTAGTGGGAAGGAAATGGTGTCAGAAACTTGCGGTGTTTGGTGCGATCATATGGAAAAAATCCTGGCTCCTCCCTGTTACCCATGCACTGAGGCACATTGATCAAGAGAGGAAAAGCAGTGATCGATACCGTCTCTGTCTTCTTGTTCTCTTGCTAATCTCTGTAACTCAATCGTTATATTTCCTCTTTAAAATGCTTGCCCTTGGATACTGTCCAGGGAAAATGATTACGGATCAGGCTCGCAGAACGGACAGCGGGGAAAGGGACACGGAAGGGCTGAAGGTCTCGTTGCTGGTTCCTGCGCTGCAGACTCAGCCCACGTTGCCCTGGCTAAGCTGGTGCGGTTACGTTTGTTCTGCCTTGCGTTCGCAAGTAGAAAAAGGTTCTGTTCTGTGGCTGCAGGGCTACTGCTGCCTGCATCTGGCTCTCACTGCACCTGGGAAATGGAATCCAGCCTGAAAGGAGAAGTGAACCTCTTGTCTGTCTGGATGGGAGGTCCTCAAAGCTCTGACAGCAGCCGGGGCTGTTGGGGTCTGATTCTGCTTCTAGTGTGCAGGGCAGACTGGGTCTGGTGCTGGGATCCCCCTTACAAGGAACTGGATTCTGTCTCCCGGTGACCCAGGCGGCTTCGGGGATGGGGCTGCTGCCTCCACGATGCTCGATGTCCACACGACCAGCAGTTACTCCTCTTGTCATGCATTTCTGCTGCCGTGGGAGTGTATGGAGCGGTTCCCCATCCCAGGCTAAAAACAATGCTGCGACCTTCAAAGTATGTGAAAAAGCAAGCTATGGCTTTTCAGAAGCGTTGTGCCTTGCTCCAGAGGCAGAGTTGTGCCTGTTGTGTTGGTGATGTGCCGGCTTCAGCTCGCACACTGCCAAGGACCCTTAGAGGAAATGAACCTGCTGGTGGGCACGGCGCCCGTTCCCCAGCAGCTTTGATGTGGGGGCCTCAAAGGCTCCTCCCAGGCGCTCCCTAAAGCAACCTGAGCAAACAGCCGGGCTGGCAGAGCTCCCGGGCATGGGCTGGCTCCTGTTGGGATGTGTGGTGGTGGTGGGCCATGATCCCTCAACAAGAGGAACTGTTTGAGAGGCAGGGATGGACGTTCATCACTCTGGTTCCTAGGGACTTGACCGAATGTGAATGATGGTGGCTTTATTCTCAGCTGCAGTGGACAAAGTGAGGAAGCTATTGGGTGGCCAGCGATGCTTTCTACAAAGTCAAGGCAGAGCATCGCATGACCAGTTCCACCGTTTCCACAGTTTCTTTGGGTCCAGATCCAGATCTCTGTTGCATCAGTGTAAAGTATGCCCATTTGGCAGTTTGCACTCTGATAAATGAAACGTAGGTTGTCAGTACCTGGTTCCTCTGGACCAGCACCAGCAGAAAATGATGGGGATGCTGCCATCCCCGTGGGTGCAGCAAGTGAAAAATAAAGACACGGCCCATCCTTATGCACTTTGTAGAGGGCCCAGCACAGCTCAGTACCCAGCGTAATTCCACGATTCCAGGACTCTTGAGGCTCTAAATAAAACAGCAGAGATAGTGAAACTCCTGAAAAGATCGTAAGAGATGGCAACCCAGCTTCCTTCATGCCAGTGGAATTTGTCTGAAGGGCCATTTCTCAACCTCCAGCCTGTGATCTGGCATGGACGAGCTGGAACCTGCAAAGGCACTTTGGGCTTTTAGTCACGCAAGTACATTTTGCTTGGTGGGGCTCAGCTCCTTAACCAGGCAAGTGATGTAGCCATCTCCCATGGCACAGGCCTCTCTCTGACATGGTTTTAGGTGTAGAACACCTCCTGGCTGGCTTGGTGGGACACCTCTCTTGCTGGGAGAGGTGGTGCCTTTCTCCTCCGGCCTCTCACTGTGATCCCGAGGGGCCGCAGGGAAAGCACAGGCTGTGTTCTTCAGCCTCCAAACCTGGCTCTACTCATAGCAGAACTTTTTTTTTCCCTGCATGGCCAAACAGTGAGAAAGGAAGACAAACACGGAATTTCAAACATAATTAACCAAGACAGGACATGATCTTTTTTGGCTGTTAAATCCCATCCGCTCTACGAGTTCCAAGTCCCACGTAAGCCAGGCATGTGTTCAGGTCCCAGCTGAGATTGCAGCGACTCTTGAAGCGGATATCTCCTGTCAGCATCTTGGTGTAAGACAGGGAAGTCTGACCGGCTGCTTTTCACCTGGCAAAGCCAAGTGTTTAAATAGGCAGCACCGTGACTCCATGGCGACACTTTTCTCCCGTACCGATGCCTTCGAAACGCTTCTTTGCATGGTTGACCTGTGTCTGCTGACCACGTTATCAGCTGGAGCGTGACCGCAGGATCCTGCCGTGCCTTCTCTCCCATTCCCTAGACTTAAGCAGAGCACAGGAGCAGCAGCGATACGAGGGGTGCAGAGCTGTTCCTCAGCTCTTTGGAAGCAAAGGGCTGACAGTTCAGGGGGCAGGGAGGGTGCAAAGGGACGCCTCTTCCCTCAGAATCCCACCAAAAGTGAGAAATCTTCGTTTGGCGCCTTGCCAAACAGCCGCTCTTCTTTTGCTGTAAAACAAGGAAACTGCGTGAAAGCAGCAGCTGCTTGGGTAAGGCAGGGATTTACTGGCAGCAAACCTCCCCGGCCCCACCTCTGGCATGGATGGCATGTTTACATTGGATGAAGGACAAAGAATAGGAAGAAAGACGAGGGAATCGAAAACCTAAACCTGAAGGGAAGGACGACGGAGTGTCCAGTCACTTTATGAGCTTTGCCGCACTCCTGATGTAGTGAGATCCGTTGCCTAGATATTTTTATGGATCCTTTCTGCTGACTAAATTGGGAGGAATTTGTTTCCATCTTCTGCGGGGCTGAGTGTTAAGTAGAGGTAACTGTGATGGTATTTGCCTGCATGAAGGATTAGCCTTCCGCTCCACCTACGGACAATCCCTTTAGCTCCAAAATATACACCTGCCCACCAGTGTAACTGTTGCTTTTGTTAACCAGTTGTTAACCGGTTGTTGTCAACCAGTGCTTTCTACCCTGTTAGATGGGTCAAAGCAGGGTTTAAAGGATGTTAGATGGGTCAAAGCAGGGTTTAAAGGATGTTAGATGGGTCAAACTACGGTTTAAGGGATGTTAGATGGGTCAAAGCAGGGTTTAAAAGATGTTAACATTATGCCCAGCTCTCTCGGTGCCCCAGAGATGCAGGGCCCAGTCAAGAGTGCAATTTGATGGGGGCACGGCTCTTGACCCTTCCTTGATGTGCTCCTCCTTTGGGCAGGTGTTCCATGATGGTTTTCATCCACGTGTTCCCACACACAGGTGGTTCTGGCAGTAGCGGGGTTTTGCTTGTACCCACTGCCTTGTGGTGGATTCCAAATTCCCCTCCCAGAGTGCTGGTGCATGTGACCCTGTTTACTACTTGTGAGCAATGTCCTTTGGCCATTGATCCCTGCCCTGCCAGGGTCAGAGGCTTCATAACTGTTGCAACATTTGGGAACCGAGTGACGCTCCTCAAAGGGGTAAGGAGCGGAGGGGAGGAACAACGATTTCCTCCTGGGAGGCGGCAGTCATGTTGCCAAGATTTCCCGCTGTGGCTTGCCAGCCAAGTGAAGCGGCTAGTACCTCTTCCAGTGGAGGGGAAGGCACAGAGCTGTGGCTACATGTGTTTGACTTGCTTCGTGCAGCCAGGAGCTCTCAACCAAGCCCTTGTTGCTCTGCCCTGCTGGGATGCTGTTAGGAGGTTGGGAGCTGTAGGAACCAGCGGCAGGGACCTGTAGGTCACAGGTTCAGCTCTGCTGGGTGATGGGGTGATGAAATTGCATGTTGCTATGGGCAAGCAGGAGAGCTTTACTGGATTTCGGTTTTATTTTCTGCTCAGCTCTGAATGCCAAGTTGCTGGGTGTGTGTGTGTGTCTGCAGCACAGGGCTGGGTTGCACTGGGTCATGGAGAATTGGCTGCAATCCATGCAGGTCCCGCTCCTGCCGCCTCCTGGCATCTCTTGCTTAGACACCTCCAAGTCACCTTAATGGAAGGCTCCATCTGATTTCTTCTGTTGTTTCAGGAGATCTGGAATGGCTCTGCCATCTCAGCCGGCACCTACTGCAAGAGAGTGGCTCCTGTGCTGCCTTGGTGCCCGTAGCGGCACAGTGACTTATTGGCAGCGTGTTTATTCACGTGTTTACAGACTGTGGGGGTGAGCACAGAATCACAGAATGGCAAGGGTTGGAAGGGACCTCGGGAGCTCACCCAGTCCAACCCCCCTGCTAAAGCAGGTTCACCTAGAGCATGTTACACAGGACTTCGTCCAGGTGGGCTTTGAATATCTCCAGAGGAGGAGACTCCACAGCCCCCCTGGGCAGCCTGGGCCAGGGCTCTGTCACCCTCAGAGTAAAGAAGTTTTTCCTCATGTTCAACTGAAACCTCTTCTGTTTCAGTTTGCGCCCATTGCCCCTTGTCCTGGCGCTGGGCACCACTGCAAAGAGTCTGGCTCTGTCCTCGTGACTTCCACCCTTAAGATATTTGTATGTGTTGATGAGCACTCTGGCTTTCTTCCAGTGTACACCTATACTGCAACGCATGCAAGAAGCCTGGTCCTGACTCGCACGTGCCACTTCTGTCCCCCGTCCTGTGGGCATTCCCAGCATACCTGGCCCTTTCTCCAGTGTACCTCCCCCTGACATTCCTAGGCACGCGGCCACTGCTGCCGTGGGAGAGACCCAGGCACTCATCTGAAGGGTAGTCGGTGAAGGGAATAAATAGCAAGGGAAAGACTGTCCAGATGAAGACTGAGCAAAGAGGATCGAGTCCCCTGTGGCTCAAGCCTGAACCACCTTCTATTCTTCCCCCTGAGCCCCTTGTGTTGTGCCCTGAATGGCCATGCTCTTGCTGGTTTGTGACCATTTCTGTGCTCGGGTCATTAGGTTTCACTATCAGGACATGTAACAGAGCCCTTGTACACCCTCACTGTTCCCCTGCCCTGGTCCTTTCCCTCCTCTTCGTTTTGTCATCTCATACCTGCCCGTTGGAGTAGTGCCCTAGTGTGGGCTTAGCAACCCCCTGCTCATCTCTGCCAGGCTTGTCGCAATCTCTGGGCCTGCCCTGACACGGCTTTCTGCAGGGGGAGAACCATTTGCAGGAGCTGTCTCCTTGGAGCAGTTCATTTTACGGGAGCCTTTCCATCCAGCTGTCTGCTGCCTTGTGGGTTTGGCTCCCACACGCGGCTCCAGGACTCGGCCACGGTGTGCTGCTCCGAGTCCATCTGTGCTCCAGAGCCCACAGCACTTGGCCACCCCACATTCCCGATCCCTTCACTGATAGAGGAGCCCAAATGAGCAGGCAGGAATCTCTGATCCAAGGCTTTTTCTCCCTTCTTGCACCTCAAAAGCTGTCAGAAAGCAGGGTGGTGGTTAAAAGAATTCCAATTCCAAATGCTCTTCCAGCTATTGTAAATCTCCCAAGCTCTAAGAGTGGCAGAAGGACTCGTCCCCTGGGTGTTTGTGCTTCCAACACAGCAGTTTCATTGAAATGGTAAGAAAACGAGTCAAATGGAGCGGGACTCCGGGCCTCGCCCGCAGAAGCACGTCCTGCCTGACATCCTGCGTTCTTCTGCGCAAATGGGTCTGTGCAGCCCCTTCCCAGAGCCCCTGCGAGGTGCTGCCCCTAAGTCTGGCTGGGAAAGGAGGTCAGTACGTATTCAGAAGAGGAGGAAAACTTCAAATTAGCCCAGCTTTTAAAAAGCGCTCTAGGGAGGAGTCCCTCCAGTCCCAACGCTCCTGCCAGCAGCGGTATCAATCAGGGAGCTTTCTGCCAGGCTGGTGTGGGCCGTAGCCTTTGAACCGAGCCAGTTCTGAGAATCGGCCGACCTCTCCTGGGAGAGAAGAGCCGGCAGTTTTTCTCATCGAGTTTCTTTATCATTTCATTCTTTTCCAAACACAGCTCATTTTTCTTCCAGACGCTGCCATTGTCATAAGATGGGATAAACCTGTAAGCTCTTTATGCCCAAAAGTTGCTCCTGACTCTCGGCCGTTGCTCTCGTGATCGTGGTCAGCACTTTGCTGCTCCCTGGGACTGCTGCCCGCTAGCCCGGAGCAGCGGCTCGGGGTGCCAGAGGCTACTCCCTGGCACGGGGCATGCCTGACCTGCTGGCCCGAGCTGGTGAGGAATGTTCCCGGCTCCTGGAGTGCATCCACCTCCAGCTTTGGCTAAGAAAGCGCTCAGGATCAGCCTGGTGTTGTGTAACGAGAAGTGTCGGCGCAAGCTGACTTCCACTGACTCAGAGGCGTTTTTTCTGCAGCGGTGAGAGCAGGATCCAGGGCTTGCGGGTTGTCCTTTTAGCTCTACCCTCATTCCTCTGCCTGAGCTCTCCTGCCTTTTTTTTCCACTGCCCTGGCCTTTCAGTTGATCTGTAATGGGTTAAGAACGTGTCTGGAAAGACGGCCATGAGGTTTCCTAAGTCTGTGCAGGGCTTGCGGGTCCCGTCTGAGTCCGTGGGAGTGCTCAGGAGCCGGAGCTCCCATTGCTCCCACAGCGTTAGGTCCAGGGCACCTCTTCTACCCTGCCTGTGTTGGCTCCCTGCTCTGTTCCAGCTCCCTGTCCTTCTGCAGGACCTAGGAATGAGGAGGGGAGATAAGTGTCCCAGGAAGTTACTTCCCTTCACCACAGCAATGGCATTTTCTGCTCCCACCCATTACGCATCTTGACTGAATTTGGACCAGAGGAGTATCGGGCATTCATCCTGCCCTCATTCCAGGAGGAGCTGTATTTTCTCAGAAGTCAGGCCCTAGGCTGAATTCAGGCATATTTCATCCCAGTTTTTCAGTCTTTTGGCCTGCCTGTCCTCTCCCATCGCTGGCCTTTTTCCTCTGAGAAACACGGGGGCTGTTCTAGCCATCCAAGTACCTCCTTGAACAGTAGGGATCACGCATGTGAATGGAAAGGAGGAAAAAAAGGACCTATTGCTCCTTCTCACTCTCTTTATCTTTGCAAATGTGTAAAACAGCTTTAAATCAAACTTAGCAACAAAGCCTGGAGGGCAGGGAGCCAACGCAGGCAGGGGGAGCTCCTCTCCCCACTCCTGGAGGCTCACCACCGCAGCGAGGTGAGGTGCATCTTCAGCCCTACCTCTGTTGGATGGTGATTGATCCAGGGGAGGTGCAGAAGATGTAAAAGGAGTGAGCTCCAAGAGGCCAGGCTTATCTGCAGCATTGGCCTTTGCCGGGAGCCAGAGGGCAAGCTGCACGCAGCAGGGCTGCGATGTGCTGACTCCGTTTGCTGTAGGTCTCTCTTATCTGCCTCAGCCGGCCGAAGTACGCGGAGCACGGCAGCTTGCAACGCTTGTGCGCTTGGATGTTGTGCCATCGTTCGCAGCGATGGACCAAGCACACCACCAGTGCTCAGGGCTGCTGCATCGCTGAGATGCTCCGACTGTCCTGTTGCAGGTCTCTTACCTCTTGGCCAACATGAAACTCCATGGGGTGGGTGCTGTGTTTGAAATGTGCTGCTGAGAGGGTCCCATGGCTGGGCGGATCGATGCTAGGCTGCCGTTCTGCAATGCCTCCAAGAGCTCTTTCCCACTCTGCTGCAGTGCTTTGGCTTCTCCCCTTGCAGTGACCCTCTCGGGCAGGGCCTAGACCAGGCTGAGCATCCGTGACGTCTCAAGGGGAGACTGAACCCAAAGCAAGCAGTGGGAGACAAATATTCCAACACAGGTCACAATCCTGCTCTTCACTGGGGGTGGGGTGGGCTGGGCTGAGGGTCTCACAAACTTTTTTCCCCTCTTGCTCTTTGCGATCCTGTAACTAATTCAGATTCTTGGACCTTGGAGGACTTAGGAACCAGTTTTCTGTTCACAATAGAAACAGCTTTTTTGGTGGTGTACTTTAAAACAAAAGGTATGTTAGCACCTCCAAGTGTTCGCAAAGAACAGCTTTGATAATAATAATAATAATAATAATAATAATAATAATAGGCAAATCCTGAGGTCTCTACCCAGCAGAATTTTCACTGAATTCAGAGATTTGGCACAAGTTAACCAAGCTTTCCTAGCAGATGCCTGTGCAGGTATGGGTTCACGTCATTCCAGTAACTCACCTCCCTCTCTCTTCCCCCTCTAGGTCCCCAGCCATCTATTTCCAATTCAGAAGGGGACCTCCTCTTCCTGCTGGACAGCTCAGGCAGTGTCTCCTACTACGAGTTTTCCAGGGTCAAGGAATTCATGTGGGACCTTTTACAACCTTTCACCTTTGGCCCCAAAGATGTCCAGGCCAGCATCATCCACATCAGCACTATGCCCACCATGGAGTTTCCTTTTGACCGGTACCTCTCTAGTGGGACTCTGCAACAAGCCATCCGGGACACGCAACAGCTCATGGGTGACACGAACACAGGCAAAGCGCTCTCCTATGCCAAGGAGAAGTTCTTCAGTGATGAAGCTGGTGCCCGGCCAGATGTGCCCAAGGTACTGGTTTGGGTGACGGATGGTTTCTCCACTGATGACATCTCCGAACCCATGCAGGTCCTGAAAGACATGGGAGTAACAGTCTTCATTGTCAGCACTGGACGGGGGAATTACCTGGAACTCTCCGCCGCTGCCAGCCAGCCTCCTGAGAAGCACCTGCACTTTGTGGATGTTGATGACCTACCCATCATCACCAAGGAGCTTCGAGATGCTATCCTAGGTACAGTGGGGTTGGGTTGTAGTCGCTGGGAGTTTGCAACGGGGCTGAATATGAGTTAATGCCTGGCTCTTCAGGGCAGGCAGCGTGAGAATCCCCTAAAACCGATGGTCCTCCCGACCCACAGCTGCTGCCCTCGCAGACTGAGGTGCTTTGTCCACAATGCTGTGGGTCCAAGTATAAACCTTTAGGAGGTCTGGGGCAAATATCTCTGTTTGCCTTGGAAAGTCCCATGACTGACTGGGACAAATTCCCTTCTGCAGACCTGCTAGTGCAATGAACTTGTATTTGTAATGAGTTGTTCTGCGGTTAATGAAGGAAAGAGGCTCAGGCAGCATATTATCTGGATTCCTTGAAAATCCACCAGGCTTTGAAATGAATCATGCAGGTCACAGGCATCCGTACAACTCAAGCATAGCATGAAAATGCCCCCACCTGCACAGGTTAATTGTTAACCAAAGGCTTCCTGAACAGGCAATGATTTCACTGCAGTAAGAACTTGCTGACTGCGGGAGCAAGGTGCCTAAGCCCCTTGAACTCGATTTTCACATTCAGGGTGATTTTTTTTTTTTTTTTTCCCCTCTAAAATGCTGTCTGGCTACGTGCCATCTGATAGAGGCGGAGGATACGGATGTGTCGAACGAGTCGCATACACGAAATGGGATGCGGTCCTGTTGGCTCCTTCAAACTCTTGCCTAGGGTAGATCCAACTTCTGTCTGTGCCGTCGTGTGCAGGCGCGGCGGCTGGCACGCACCGAGACACCCAGCTCCCGCCTCCGAGCGGCTGGCAGTTGTTCCCTTGCAAAGAGCAATTAAGAACGGTGCTTGCTGTCAGCATTAAGACTGTAGGAGAGGAATGTTTTTGTTCCATAAATCCGCTGTTGTAACGTGTTCCACATCCGCCAGATCTATAGCCCGACTTGGCTAGCGCAGCCCTTGGAAGAAAATCCCAGCCCTAACTTGTCGGGCTTAGCAAGCCAACTGCTACCTCTTTGTTGTTAGCGTGGTTGTGGCGGTTGCTGGGCAGAGAGCAGGAACATGCAGCAGGTTGGATTTTTCAGCAGTCCTGGGTTTTTAAAGCATCCAGGAAAGGGTCTGAGGAGTCCCAAAGCCATACTCTGGGCCAGAAGACAGGCATTTGGAAGCCAAGAGGAATATCTCCTGCTAATCTACATGCTGCACTGCACAAAGCAAGTTCTTTTTGCAGCTCTTGAATGCCCTCATGGTGGGAATGTCTGTGATTTGCCTCAGCCTCCCAGGTTGCCTCTGGATTTGTTAGGAGAGCTGAGCGAATTACTGTGACTTTGCAGACTTCCCATTCATTTTCTGGGGGTTCTCTCTCTCTATTGGAAATCCAGGGTTAATTCCTCATTTAGCTTTGGCTATGGGAGTTGGTTAGAGCTGGCTTTGGAGTGTCCAAGTAACCCTCTCCACAGATTCTTCTGCATGTAGCAAGTTCGGTTTTTTTCCAACCATGATCCCTTAACAAACCACACACAGGGAGTATGTTCTCCTCCATCCATCTACCCCTCTCCTGTGTGGGTACGGGGCCGTACCAGCAGTCCTTCTGCTGTACCAAACCGTAGAATCCTCTAGGTTGGAAAAGACCTTTAAGATCATCAAGTCCAACCGTTAACCTAACCCTGCCATCCCACCACTAAACCATGTCCCTAAGCACCTCATCTATCCTTCTTTTAAATCCCTCCAGGGATGGGGACTCAACAACCTCCCTGGGCAGCCCCTTCCAGAGCCTGACGACCCTTTCTGTGAAGAAATTTTTCCTAATGTCCAACCTAAACCTGCCCTGGCGCAACTTCAGACCATGGCCTCTCATCCTATTGCCCATTACCAGGGAGAAGAGACCGATCCCCCCCGGCTCCCCCCTCCTGTCAGGCAGTTGTAGGGAGCGATGAGGGCTCCCCTCAGCCTCCTCTGCTCCAGGCTGAACAACCCCAGCTCCCCCAGCTGCTCCTCGTAAGCCTTGTGCTCCAGACCCCTCCCCAGCTTTGTGGCTCTCCTCTGGACACGTTCCAGCACCACAACGATGCCACACAGACCCCCAGATATTTCATCTCAAGTGGCTGTTTCAACTTCCAATGCATCCCGAATCCAGATGGCATAACACAGCATCCCAAAATGAGATCTCACCTGCGTATCCTTGCAGCACAAGATTATCTTTAAGATCATAAGATCTGCAAAGGTAATAAATACCCTGCTGTGCCCGAGGGCCACGTTCTGTTCATCCACCAGGTCTAAAAGTTACTAGTCTGGGATTTTAATGGAAGGTGAGATTCCCACATGAATCCAGGGGCTGGTGCTTAAAGCAAAATACCAGGCATTGGTAAGGCCACCTGAATCAGCCTTAAGAAAGCCACATATGTCCTCTCTTCCCTGCCTGGAGGAGGCAGCCCTGATCGCCACCGTTCCTGCTTCTGGCCCCTGGAATAGCAGGGGCAGACAGGATCCTTGGCAGACAGAAATTGGGCCTTTCCAACTCTGGAAGAGCCCAGACTGGTTTTATTATCCCTGCTATCTTACCCTCATCTCTTGCTGCTGTTTTTTAAAAGCCTTTTGTAGATGCACAAACAAGCTTTGTCAAGAGTGCTCTCCTCCCTCCACCTCCTGTCCAGGAATGGGGCGTTTTGTGCCCGCTCCGTAGATACGCCAACATGATAGCCCTTGGCTACCAAGTCGCTATTGTCTCAGGTAGGCTGAGAACCCTCCGCGGAACAGTTTGATCTCCGCAGCTGTACCTCACTACACAAAGATAGACACCTTTACGTAGGGGTTGCATTTTCTTTACCTTCAGAAATTTGATCAGAGGTCTGAGCAGACAAATAGTGTTACGTCAGGGCTTAGTCTGGAGTTCACAGCAAGGATTTTCAGCCCTAGACAGCCGCTACTTGGGCAGGGAGACAAAAGGAAGGTGTCTTCCTCTTCTACACCATATTTCTGTCCTGCTACAGGCTCTGCTGAGGCCAAGGGATGCAATGTCTCTGCCTCCGTTCCCTTTTTGAACAACCTGGTTGTGTCTCGGACCAGAGGAGATGGGCTACTGCTTAGACGTGGTGGACCTGAAATAGTTCCAGTACTGCTACTAAGCCGAAGGGTGCAGGACAGGGACCGCGGATGAACGCATATGTTCACTCCCCCTCTTTTTCTTGGCATGTGGTCCCGACACAACGCGTCTGCAGAATGCAGCAGACTCCAGTTCCCTGCCAGCCTGGCTATGGCCGCGGCTGGCTCCTGGCAAACATCTCTGCCTTTCCTAGTGTGAAGGAAAAGGGGACTCTAGCTCAGGCTTCTTCCATTGCATCTTCTCTCTTATGTACCCAATTTGTGGCATTTGGTGCTCTGCTTCGGGGAAGGACCTTCAAGTGTTTGTGAAACTGAGGCATTCCTCTGAGATGACATCAGGCTCTGCACTAGCATCCACTTGCTCTCCGCTCAGCCGGTTGAACTAACAACCGCTGACTTGTTCCATCCTTTGGCACCATCTCCTGAGCCAAGTTCTGCAGGAGCCCACCTGCCCAGCAGTCGCAAGCCATCAGCCACTTCCCGTGCGTATACAGGGCAACACATTTCTGATCTGAAACGAGGTCCTGGTAAAGAGAAGGCTGAGAGGGGACCTCATCAACACATACAAATATCTCAAGGGTGGATGTCACGAGGACAGAGCCAGACTCTTCACAGTGGTGCCCAGCACCAGGACAAGGGGCAATGGGTACAAACTGAAACAGAAGAGGTTTCAGCTGAATATGAGGAAAAACTTCTTTACTCTGAGGATGACAGAGCCCTGGCCCAGGCTGCCTAGGGGGGCTGTGGAGTCTCCTCCTCTGGAGATATTCAAAGCCCACCTGGATGAAGTCCTGTGTAACATGCTCTAGGAGAACCTGCTTTAGCAGGAGGGTTGGACTGGGTGATCTCCCGAGGTCCCTTCCAACCCCTGGCATTCTGGGATTCTGTGATAACCACTGCTGCAGTGAAGGCTTTGAGCCTGGAGCCCTCTGACGTTCTCACTTAGCACTGAATATAAGCAGGAGACCAGAGGGAGGGATCTCAGACCTCTAATGTCCACCCTGGTAATGGGGAAGTGTGTTCCTCCCCTCTCAGAACCCTCCTCCCATCCATATCGAGGTTGGGAAACAGAGCTATAAAGCATAAGTGATTTGTCCCACGTCCTAGCCGAAGCTTCTGCGGAGAGGGGATGGTGTACCCAGGGCTGGAACAGGTTCATCTGCTGCCTGGCTGCATTTCTTACGCACATCATGAAAGCAGCAGCGTTCCTGCGAGTCTAATCTTGACCTCACCAGCGTTCACAGGATGCCAGCAAACTTGCGGCTGCAAAACGGTGTTTCAAGTCACCGGGAGGCAGGAGGTGGGAGGCAAATGTGTCGCAGGCTGTCTCTGAGCGTTGCTAGGAAGGCACTGCCTGCGTCGAATGCAAGAGATTAACTCGCTGCTTCCCTCTGGGAGCACAGAATCCCAGAATTGCAAGGGTTGGAAGGGACCTTGGGAGATCACCCAGTCCCACCCCCCCTGCTAAAGCAGGTTCTCCTAGAGCATGTTACGCAGGACTTTGTCCAGGTGGGCTTTGAGTATCTCCAGAGGAGGAGACTCCACAGCCCCCCTGGGCAGCCTGGGCCAGGGCTCTGTCACCCTCAAAGTCAAGAAGTTTTTCCTCATATTCAACTGGAACCTCTTCTGCTTCAGTTTGTGCCCATTGCCCCTTGTCCTGTCACTGGGCACCACTGGGAAGAGTCTGGCTCCATCCTTGTGACACCCACCCTTAAGATATTTGTGTGTGTTGATGAAGTCCCCTCTCAGCCTTCTCTTCTCCAGGCTGAACAAGCCCAGCTCCCCCAGCCTTTCCTTGTAGGGGAGATGCTCCAGTCCCTTTATCATCCTAGTTGCTCTCCTCTGGAGTCTTTCTAGGAGTTCCTCATCTTTCTTGAACCGGGGAGCCCAGAACTGGACACAGTACAGAGCAAGGAGGTGCTGGAAAGCATACCATGGGCTTCTATTTTCTGGGGCTTATTGCCTTCTTTTATATGCTCAAGGCATCTGTAATCTGGCAACCGGGGGCAGGGCTATTTGCTGCGGGCTTTCTGCAGCATGGCCCTCGGGTCTTGCACCCTGTCACTTTAATCTGCCCGATTTACTTCCAGTGTCCCTGGGCCCTGCCTCCAAGCTCACCTATTTCCATTCCCCGAGCTTTTGGCAGGACTTTTGGCGCTGAGGCCTCTCCTCTGTTCCCCAGTCCTTTGTGGCTTGGCCGCTGTGAGGTGCGGGGCTCGCAGAAGGGTGCAGTGCCCCCCGGCCCCCCGGGGCTAGGGAAATGTTCCTGCCTGCCTGGAAAAGCCAAAGAACAGCTCAGAGGAAAAACTGAGGCTGCTTTATTTGGTACGGGGAAGTTGGCAGGGATTTGGAGCCACTCGGAGGAGGAGAGCTGATCTTCTCCCTGCTAAAGGACAAGTCTGAGAGGGCAAGGTTACCCCCTGTTCTCGTGCAGGTCCAGGCAGACTTTTTGCCTCCCTTTACCTCTGTGTAATGCACAGAGAGAAGCACTTACAGTACTTTGTGAAATATTTAAGCTTGAGCTGGATGGACTATCAGTGGAGGCCCCATCCCTGGAAACATTCCAGGCCAGGTTGGACGGGGCTCTGAGCAACCTGATCTGGTTAAAGGTGTCCCTGCTCGCTCTAGGGGGGTTTGGCTGGGTGACCTCTAGGGGGCCCTTCCAACCCAAAACATTCTGTGATTCTATTCTATAAGGTTTCAGGAGTGACACTGTGCAGAGCAAATGCACTTCTTTAAGGCTCAGGGTGCTTTTAAAAAAAAAAAAATCATCTTTATGTCTTCGGATGCCACTTCCCTGGAGCTAGAAACAAAGTCCTGTGTGTTTCTGCCCCTCTGGAAGACCAGAAAACAGCAGAATTCTGCCCAAGATGGGCTCAGGAGGCCATGTGTGTCAGAAGGGTCAAGCAGCAGAGGAAGCTGGGGAAGCTGCAGAGCGTCAGAAGAGGTGTTCGTGCCTGGTGTTTGGGGTCTAGAACTCAAAGGTAGCACCAGGCTTGAAGAGAAGCCTCTGTGCAGGGGGGAAGGCAGGCGAGATGCCCCAAGGGTGGCTCCGAACGCTGAATGTCACGAAACAATGGAGCTCTGTGCAGCGCTGCGGGGAGCGACTCCAGCTGGGATGAATGCAGCCGGCTCGGCAAATGCTGGGCACTCCCCAGTTGCCGCCCCTTCTTCTTGGCCACCGGGTACAGGCAGGGAGCAGGGAGAAGCAATCTATTTCTTCACGCTCTGGGCTGCTTTCACATCCATGACAAAATGTAGTGGTTTGGTTTCGCTAGTAGGTGATTTCCAGAGGGAGCTTGGGATGAACTGACCACAGGAAGGTTCAAAGCCTGGGTGCCCAAACTCTGTCTCCAGATTTGTCACAGGCAGTGCTAGCGCTGCTTGCCGTGCTGGGTACCTGGTCATGTCGTGCTGCCAGGGAAGCTGCCTGTGTGCCCAGGCACAGTCATTCCCACACATCTGCCGGGCAGTAGCGGCCACCCAGAACTTGCTGCACCACTCCAGATTTGTTCTTGGTGGCACAAGACCAGGCTTGGATGGGCAGGGGCAGGGTGCTGGCTGTGCTGGACCTCTCTGCCTCAGCAGCTCACAGCATTGCTGGCCTTAGTACAGAGGACAAGGCAGAGAGAATGGAGCTTTATAGAGCTTTATAGAGCTTTATAGAGCACCTTGGAGGCTTGTGGCAAACTGCTTTGGGGCTGGAGATGACTTGGGGGCAAGGTGCAGAAGTATTCTTGAGCTGAAGCCTGTTGTGCAGACACCTGAGCAGTTGCTTTAGCCACTGTGCTGCCTTGTGGCGGTTGGGACGTATGCGTTTGCTTTGCAAGCTCTGTTTGATGAAAGGGTCTTGTCCAACAGGTAGGAGTGGTGTGAAAACCCAAATATTGCTGCCTCAGTTGATGTGTGGTTTGGATTTATTATTTTTTTTTTAGCCTTATGCTTGGCCTCAAGGGTTTATTTTGTGGTCCTGAACCTTTCAAAGAGGGTCTGGTTCACTGCATTGCTATGAAGGGGCTTGGCTCCACCTAGGTGACTTCCAAGCGTTGCTGTGGGCCACACTTGCCATCCAGAAGGGCCTGTGTTTTAGACATGCCATGTTCTGTGTATTCATGTCAGCAGTGATTCCTTGCTGCTGCTTCTCTTCCAGATGTTATCCAAGCAAATCGGCTCCATGCAGTAGACATCACCTCAAGCAGCTTCCGCCTGATATGGCCCGAACTCCTCTCCCAAGAAACCGACTACTACACCCTCGAGTATGCCCCAGGAGGTGACCTGGCAAGGAAGAGGACAACGCAAGTGTCGGGGGCTCACACTAGCCTCACTCTAAGCAACCTTGCTCCAGAAACTACTTACGAGGTGGCACTCATTCCTGAATCCAACATCCACTACTTCCCTCCACAGACGACAAGGGTTACTACCCTGGCAGGTAAAACGTGCGCAGTCATGGCCAAGGGGGAAGTCTCCACTGTGTTCAGCCTCACAAATACAAAGCAAACAGGACAGCCCTTGGTCTGCATCCCCTGGCCCCGTGGTCTGACTGGAGGAGGCAGACAGTTGTGGTCAGGACAGAACATAATGAGCTGCTTCATGTACCCAGCTGCCAGCTCCTTCCTTAGAGAGATGTTCTGGGCTGTCCAGAACAGGAGATCAGGTCTGATGGTCGTAAGGTGCCCTTCCAACCTTAAAAAATCTATGAATCTGGAGGAAAGCAGAGCCCGCTGCCCTAGGAGAAGGCAGCAGGAGCTGCAGCCTGCAAATATTTAACAGGGCTGAGGTGCGGAGCCCGCTGGGGATAAAGCACAGGCTGCTGCACGTACTTACTCGCTATCCCAGTAGGATGGTCAGGGATCCCAGATCCCAGAAAGCAGTGCTGCCTTGTGTGGGTTACTGCCAAAGGGGAATTTTGACCTTCACAGCGTGAGCAGCTGCTATGGGGACAAGGAGATCCCTGTCTCCTCCCTGAGGATGTAGGTGCAGCTCGGGGAGAGTGATGCTCTCAAAGCAGGCGGGTGCCACTTCTCCAGGCGGGTGCCACTTCTCCAGGCGGGTGCATCCACGGATGGGGAATCCCTGTGTATGTGGGAAGGCGAGGGGGGAGCACTTGGAGCAGAAGGCAGCCTCTCTGTGCAGACTAGTCATTTGGGCCAGAAGAATAGCTCGGATTTATGCTGGATAGCAATGTGCAAAAAAGTAGCACACTGAAAATGTGACCGGGGGGGACAAAGTCAAGATGAACTTGCATCCAGTATTAATTTCCTGCATGTAAGAACAGTTTTGGCTGAGAATTTTTGCCCACTCTGTGCCACATAGGTAGAGAAACCATTTTCTTAGGGCTGAGCTGGATTGTGCTGACTTGGGTGGCTGCCAACATCCACTTGCTGGATGGATTTTCTTCCACCTTCTGGAAGCCAACTATGGTACAGGTCAATTATACTCCTCTGCCAGTATTTATGCCTTGAATTACACTCATTCACACCTTTTTACATTGCTTTCAGAGGAAATAAGCCCGACTCAGGTTCTCATCTCAGAGTCCGGGCCACACAGCTTCCATGTGAGTTGGGCTCCTATGCTGGACAGTGTGATCGGCTATCAGGTCCTGTACGGACCACTCCCTGGGAACTCGGCGAAGCTGCTGGAGGTGGATGGCAAGCACAATAGCACTGTGGTGGAGAACCTGGCACCCAATACAACATATCTAGTGACAGTGACTGCAGTCTACAAGTCGGGGAAGGAGAAGTCCCTGTCAGCTAAAGCGTGCACTCAGGAAGGTGAGTGAGCAGCAGTCTTCGGATGGGAAAACACGTGGGCACGAGGGGTCTCTGAAGCGTACTCGTTTCTTTGCACAGATCATCTGGAGATATTCAAAGCCCGCCTGGACGACATCCTGTGTAACATGCTCTAGGTGAACCTGCTTGAGCAGGAGGGTTGGACTAGATGATCTCCCGAGGTCCCTTCCAACCCTTGCCATTCTGGGATTCTGTGATCTGCCTTTAGGTGAAGGCGGAGAATTCAGTCAGCCCAGTTGCTGGGGAGGGATGAGAGAAGGGGAAAGCTGCAGCTTCTGATGAATGCACATGATATGCCATTAGGATGTAGCAGATGTACGAGGCACAGGACTGGAAGAAACTCAGACGCGCACAATATGCTATCACAGGGTGCACGCTGCCAAGCTGCTGGTGCAGTCACAAGTAGAACAGACTTGGAGATCCCTGAATCTCCCTAAAGAAGAAAGGAAACTGCCTTTTCCTCCTATCTCCTTAGTGTCTATTCTTTGGTGTGATTTAGAATCAGAGGGGTGGAAATTTCAGCAGCAGAAGCTTCTGCTCTGAAGAGGTACCTGTAAAGTTATTGCAGGAGGCAAAAACCTAGCTCTTATCAGAATTCAAGAGTGAGGAACTCGGAGAATGACAGCAGCCGAGGGTGTGGGAGGCAGCCAGCCAGTGCCTAATGGTGCCAGCAAAAGTGTTTTGTGCTGGTACCAGGACAAAGTTAAGGACTAATTAGGCTGAGTTCCTCCAGTGTGGAGATGGAGGGTGATGGGCTATTACATCTCTACAACAGAGAAAGACCAGGCTGGCTGGCAAACCCTTCTTGGCAATCCCCTCGGAACAAGGAGTGAGGCGGTGAGGACCACTCCGTACACATGGCCCATAGTAACATGAATCTTCTTTCTCTAGAGGGATCCAAAGTGAGGCACCTTCGCTTTGAAGACATGGGCCCCAACACCCTGAAAGCCTCCTGGGACTCTGCTGATGGGGAAGTCCTTGGTTACAAAGTCAGATGCCGGCGGCAAACTGGCCCTTCATCTGTCATCAGCGTTTCGCCGCAGATCCACAGCGTGCTCCTGACAGACCTGGCTTCAGGCACCATCAGCAAAGTGTGCGTGAAGCCCGTGTACAAGAACCATCCAGGCAAAGGGCTGTGCCGCATGGTACACATGCAACCAGGTGAGCTGGGGTGCGAGGCAGAATCCTGGGGAGCTTTAGCCAAGGGAAGGTGTCCCGAAGGACACTGAGGTGCTGGAGATCCAACGCAGAGGAACCCTCATGGCTGAAATACTCTGTGCTCATCAGCTAGCTTGCCAACAGGGCTTCATCACAGCTATCAGCCCAAAAGGTACTGCCCAAAGATGGGCTCTTTCCCCCATTTTTAAGAGCAATGCTCCTCCTAGTGGCGTTATTGCTTGCAGGCAGGAGAAAAAGTGGGCAGTGGACACAGTCCTGCAACTACTTTGGGATAACAAGGGTGGGAAGACTGCTAAAAGCTGGCATGAGGATTGGAAGGGCTGTTTAAGAGTCATTTGAACTCTTGGCTGCTCTTCGCTTTTCAACGTGGCAGGGACAAGCTAACTATTAAACACAGCTACTAAGGCACAACACATCTGCTTTCCTCCTTCCAGAAGCCACTTACTGTCATGACCCACAAAGGGATTCTTGATAGGCTGAAGTATCAAGTAGTGACGATGACCACGGGGATGAGATCTCCGACTCAGTCAAATTTGGACAATGGGTGGCTAAAGCTGACTCTATACTTTGTGTTCTTCCCAGCTACAGAGGCCCAAGGATATAAGCACAGACAGAGAGCGTGACAGACTCTGGAGTGAACTGATTCCTGGCAGAGCAAGGAGCCTTGCCTGGACAAAGACTTGGACAAAAAGGAGGGATCAGGGGAAGAAACCGGAAAGCTCACGGATCATCTCCCAGCCTGCGCTGTCTGTTGAGGTGTCCTGGTTGTCAAGCCTAAAGGCTGTCCTCAGCCAAGTTCTCCCAAAGCTTAAAGGCTGGCTTGGCTGGGTGGAACACCCAATCTGACTAATAGATCCCAGATCTGTACCCTCTTTTATATAAACATGCCTGACAAATAACAAGCAAAAGGCAAAGCGATGAATCCTCGCTATTTCTTGCTTACTGCCTGTTCTCTATTTATTAAATGTTGATACAGTTTTATTTTTGCAGCTCATGAGCATGTTCAAGACTCGGCTGTTTACTGCCCTGGCCTTTCGTTCTGGGCACCTGCACTCAGATTACATGTGGCCAAATCCATTCCTGCTGCCAACGGCCATTGAACCTGACAGACTTGACAAAGAGCAGCTTTCCTCCAACTCATCCGGTGTACTCAACAGGTAGCTCCAGTTAGGCATCCTGAAAGTATATAGCATCTCAGGGATGAAAGGGAAAAGCGTTAGGAGAAAGAAGAATAACACAATACAAACAAAAAATACAGTATGCAGAGGAGATCAGGTCAAAGCCACTAGCAGTTCTGAGAAGAGGAAGAAAAGAGATTGTTAACCCACTTGCCCTTTGGCCAGGGCATGGAGACACTTTATAAAAGACATCCTGCCTTTTATAAAGTGCAAGGGCTGTTCAGTGTTCCCAGATGGTCTTTGGTTTGTGGCGGAGCTTGGTCGGTGAACCCTGAGAAACGAAACGCCAGGCCAGGGCCAGGCCAGGCCAGGGCCGATGAGCACTATCGGAGTGCTCTAGCAGAAAAGTTTGCTCGCTGTCTGCCTGCTGAGTTCTTCAGTCTCATCACCACCGTTCCACTCTCCCTCTGGCACTGGTATTAAATTCATCTGCTGCAATGGCATATAGACCTTAGATGGGCTTCGAAGGGTTCAGTTCCCCCAAGTCTGGGATTCGGTATCAATCTGAGAGAGCAGGAAACTCAAAAACTGGGGAATTTGCTTCCCCAGCAGGTTACTCCGCTCTTGAGCTCTCAGCTCTCAACGGAGCTCAAGGAGCAGCAGTGAGTCAAGAAAAGCCAGAGAGCAAAACAGTCTAAAGCAGTTATTTTTGTTTCCCATTCAAATACACAGCCCCAGACACCACTGCGGTACTGCCTGCATCGTGACCACTGAATTGCCGTGGCATACCTGCAATCGGTTTCACCAAATTGGAGGCGACTCCTGCTATCAGAGCAGCTACATGGAGATTAATTAGCCAGTTCTAATGTGACTAATTATGGACAGTAAATCTCCAGCACTATCATTCCAGGCTCTATCCTCTGCACTCTGAAAAAGCCTAGCACATCTTTGGTGTCTTGTCCTGGGCTTCCCCCCAGTGCTAAGCTTGAGCTACACTTAAAAATCAGGTTTTTAGGGGAGAAGAGTAAATCTGATTATTTCCCTTTGGTCCCGGGCTTGAATTTGCTGTCACTAAGCTAATCTTTGGAAAGGGGAGCTTTGGAAAAAAAAAAAAGACTATTTTTGTCCCTGACCTTGTCTCCTGAGTGCCGAATTCGTCATGCCCAGGCTTACGGAGCATTTGCCTTGGGCGGTGGTCTTGTAGAGGAGGAAGGGATGGGAGGGAGGTGAGTCATTCACTGGCTCGATAAGAAGATTTCATATGGTTTGTGTTCTCCTTTGGAATGTGCATTTGTGACTGATTAATCTTAATGGAGACTCTGTGCTGCGGGGAAGATAAAGCCTCTGGAATCTCTCATGCAATAAGATAATCTTGTTTGTTCTTGCTGTAGGACAAATTAATTTTGCACAACTCCCTGCATAGTTTACTAATACATTAATGTGTCACCCCCCCAACTGTAATGCGTCCTTTTGAAGACAATTAAATATACAATACAAGAGCTATTGAATGATTACTTCGTTCTTGATGGCAATAAGGGCAAATCTGTTAAGTGTAGCTTTTGTTCTCATGAGAGGTATGGGTTGAAGCTGGTATTCATCTCCATTTTAAATGACTGAAAAGTGAGCATTCCATCCATGACTTCGTAGTCTGGTTTACACGAACTTTACCTGCACCCCCTCAAAAAATGTGTTAATAATATATAAGTAGAAATTCATCAGTGTCAATGTCTCAGCTTCAGCAAGAATTGTTTTACAAGGAGACAAAAAGCAAATGTCCCTTAAATCTTGGCAGAACTGGAAGTACTTGTGAACATGAAAATTCTAAGTTGGACAGGTAAGTTAAACTAAACTTTTTTTTTTTTTTTACTAATGATTTCTAGGGCTATTTAAGCATCTCATCTGTGCCAATATAATGGATATGACACCCAAACACCTATGTAGGATGAGAGCACAAATCATCAGGGCTTCCAGTAGGAGCTAAACTCTGGGGGGACACACACACTATAAAGAGCTTTATTTGTAGATGAGCTGTTCCCAGGGGTTTTTTAGGGTCCTCGCACCTTCTGATGCATGTGGTGTTGGCTATTATTAAAGATTTAACTTGAGAGTTGCTAGTGTGATGTGCCAGGAGAGTTCCCATGTTCCTCAGTAGCACAACGGCACCCACTATCCTGTATCAAGACACCATGAGTTTTGTGAACACAAACTTCGGGAAGGTGCGGATCTGTCAGGAACTGCTTATCCCACTCAGCTGATCTGTTATCTAGCCAGACACCTAATGGTTTTCCGAAGGAAAACAGCATACTTCCCCAATTCCAGAATTTTCTTACTGTGTTTGTGTTCACTTGGAAGAAACTTGCTCTTAAGCGCGTGCTGCTTGCAGCCTTCCCCTGTATAATCCCAGGCTCACTGCGGTGTTGAAGTACAGCTATAATTAGGATGCACTAGCTAATTTCTCAAAGCAATGTGGAGGTTATAGCCGCACTTGGCTACTGTCAGCCAGAAGGGCATTTAATTTACTGTCATAGATGGTACAAATAGGCTTAACTTTGACAGCTTCACTAAGAAATACGAGCCACCGGACATCTCAAAAGTGTGAAGGTTCAGGGAATGCTTTTACCACAGCCAAGGTGAAGGAAAAAATTCTACCTGATGATACCAAATGGGTGCTGATGGCAGGAGCCAAGTGGGGAATCTCTGGTCTGACAGTGAGAGGTGCTCAGAAAACAGCTGACAAGAGCAGTCATGATGTGTGTTTAGTGCTTGTCGTCTTCCTTTTGCACTAAGACATACTGGAATCAAATCTTTATTAAACATTATTTTTTTTTTTGACCCAAGATGGAAAATTAAAAATCTAAATTGGAAAATTGCCGGTAAAATATGTTCAATTATTTTGGGAAATAAGGCTGGAGTGCCTGGGGTGTTACCTTGTAATAGACAGGAACTACTTTGTCCCTGTATTGGTTTTCCAAAATGTACACATGGCGCCATGGAATCACACGGCAGGGCCAACGCTGACGTTTGGAACGAGCAATGAATCTGCTGGGTCACCAACATGTTAAAGAGAACAAGAAAAGAGGTGAATCCGGTAGAAAATGGACGCATTTTGCAAGGAACTTTTTGAGAGGCTTGCTCACGGGTGCTTTTGGGAAGAAACATGGACATTTAAAGACAAAAAAAAGACACCTGCACAACTGCCCCTGAATGCGGATGATGATCTTGGGTCTATTCTGGATTTTATACCTTTTCAGGCCGCGGGATTTTGCATGTGAGCAGACTTCTTACGGCTACTTTCCTCCCTTTTCCTTCTGCTCCCCTCCTCTGACTGCTTTCCTGTCGTCCTTCGCATCACGAGCGACTTGATTAGGAGCAGATTTGCACCCGAAATACCCCAAAGCACCAAGCACAAAGATTTCTTTCGGCCTGCGCGGCCTCTCCTAGCAACGCCGCCGCGCTCCCGTTGCTATGGCGGGGCGGCCCCCCCCCTCCTTT